AAAGACTTAATCATTACACAGTGCTACAGGAGAAACAAAGGAAAAAAACCCAACCACAAAAAAAAAAGCCCATCACTTTAATCCAAGCCTAAAACTTGCTGAGTTGATGGCCTACAAGAGCCACAAATTCATAAACAGAAAGTTTTGCATTAAAAAGACCATAAAGAAGGGTTACTTTCTAGGAAAGCTAAATAAATCCTGTTATTCAAATTCCCATAGCATCAGAATCCAACTCACTAATGCAGGCAACACTTGCTGTGTATCCAAACCTGAAGACACAAATATAATTTTCAAGAACTAGCAAAGGAACTTTTTTCCTGGAACAAATATTTAAATATCTGATGTCTCTCTTTGGAGGTAGAGAATTAAAGTGCATATAAAAGGCCCTATCAGATCTCCAAAAGATGTTAGCCCTTTTTAATGTAAGCAAAGAGGTGCATCAATGTGTGAAATAAAAGAAAGAACAGAAAGAATGAAACAACATAAATTGTACCACAAACACATGAACTGATCTTCAATAAAGGAAAAAAACAAAACAGTCCCCTGAAATAAAGAACAAATTTTAAGACTCCTTCCATAAATATTTTTCCATTTCCACAATAAATTGTAGATTAGTAGATTATTTTGCAGCTTCATGCAGCATTTTTCTAAAATACATTAATTTTACAGACTTCCTGGGAAAAGATTTGAGAGTCTTATAACTTCAGACACCATGGGATTGTTCAAAACTGCATGTTTTAATCCATGTATTAACATGGCACATGAATACCTCACTTTCAGTTACGCTTCATATTTTTTAATTCTCTTCCTTAAAATAGTTCTTCTGTTTGGGTAGCAGGTGAGCCACTTGGACAAAATATGTTCTCTACATATCAGAAGTAGAACCAAAAGCTTGGAATTCGGTCCTCTTGGAACTTCAGTAATTCACTTTTTGTAACAGCTAGTTTCCACTGCCATTGTTCCTGACTGACCGATAGACTGACAGATGTCTTACTTTAGAGATCCCAAACAGACTATTGGTATCTATTTCAGCCACATCTGTTCCTAAATAGCCTTGGCAACAGGCCACTATGCACTCAGAATTAATTTTAAGTCCTTTATTGCTGACTCTTTCACTGTTGAAATACATCAGTGATTCTTTTTCCCTATTGCTGCACTTACATAGAATATCTGTAAATCTATATTTTAGATTAATATCAACAACAACTACAGCATACTACAGATAAGACTAGTATACTTAAACAATACATTGATTCGTTTTAATTAATTATAAAGTATATATTTTTTATTTTTATCTTGTTCATCGTGAAATATATATTCAACAGTACATTGACCTCTGGATTACTCCAAGGTCTTATTTCCTTGTTCTTTAATTAATTTAGAAATTATGTTCAATTACCTATACTTAAAAAAGCAAGTTTTATCCAGATTATTACTATTATTATCCTGACTATTTAGTCAGCCCCACCTGCAAGCTGTCAGTCAGATAATGACTTAATATACCATTCAGTTTAGTACACTAAACACACAAGAAATTACACTTAAAAAGTTTTTCAGGATGATCAAAATCCTCCAGGCTTTGCATACTGGTAAAGCACTGGACAATTGCCAGTTTTGTTACACTTCCTGACAGAAATCTGCTGAAAAACTGCAATTATTGTCAGTTTAGAAACTCTGTAGCAAACTTTAAAAACATGATGGAGGCTTTAAAAATTATCAGAATTAAAGTCTTTATTTAGCAACAAAAAAAAAAAAAATCATATGCATAAAGAGGATACAAATGATCTTCTGGGAACTTTGAAAAATCACATATAATATTCAAATCTGTACTTAACATAGTTTTATCTGCTATAGTTTTGAAGCAGCATTCCAAATGAAAACCTCCACAGTTCAAGGCTGGAATATCAATAGAGAAGTCTTGTATTTTTCTTAATTTCCATTATTATACCATAGGAATGCCACATAGAAAGAAGCTAGAGAAAAAAACTACCAGCTACTGACTGTGAGCTTTGCTTTTCACTGGGGCATCCAGGGCACTGTTAAAAGCAAGCGACCAGCTACGGGTCAGAGGGGTTGTGCCCCCAGGGGAGAGAACAGGCTCAGCTGAGCTGCACACCCAGGCTGGAGCTGCAGCCTTTCCAAGGGGACAGCTGAGCCTCACACTTGTCCACTTGTTCCCACCTGACACATTCACTCCCTCGGGCTCCACACCCAGCTGCCTGCCCAAGACTCATTTCTGCCATAAGCTTTGTTATAACAAATAACACACAAAATTCATAATGGGTCATGCTTATTTCAGAGGTAGGAACTTTGCTGTAGAGTGAGCAATGAAGAAAGCCATCAAAAATCATCAGCAAGCATGGGTAGTGTCATGGTTTGACACAAAAAAAGAATTTTCTCAGAAAGAAGAGGTCAGTTTAGATATTGAATAATTAAAGGTAGATAGGCCAAAAGCCTCTTGAAGACAGAAGCTGCAGAACACCAGGACAGAGTAAAGAAGGAAGTCCTCTGGATAATCAGGCTGCCTAGAGCCCCCCAGGAACAGCACAGCGGAGAAGAACTACACATACATCATTGTGACGTGCCTGGGCCCAGGCACAGCAGATGTCCCTTGCCTGGGAACTTTGAGCTGCAGCTTTGAGCTCTGGTAGAATCTGGAGGAGCCAAGGCTGCACAACCTACCACGTGTAAGAACAAACAATCGGAACCACGGAGCTGCAGATGACAAACGACAACTTCAGCAAGACAGGAATTCATCTAGAGAACTATGGGGGATAGGAGATTAGGAAAAAGGGAACAAAGCAACTACCTTATAGTTCTCTGATTTTGACAGGCTACAGCAATTGCCATAGAAGAAAGACCTTTCCCTCAAATAGGAAGAATTGCTACATATGAGTCCAAGCAAGTGACATTCAGCAGCACTTGCAAAGAGTGAAGACCTGGCTTGACCTCCCAGAGCCTCAGGCAAGCTACATTAGGAAGCTTTTGGGTTGGAGAGAACATGCATAAGCCAAATCCCAGTGGAAAGACTTGTCCAGAGAGCTGTTAGCCATCTCTGAACACTCCACTGCTGTACGTATGTACGAATGAGACCCTACCACAGATAGCTCCTCCCAGCACCAGTACAGAACACCCCAGGGTAAGTGCTACTGGGAGCCAAGAATGAGGGAGAGAAAAAGTATTCAAGTTCCAGAATTTGCATTTGACTGCTGCAACTGCAGCCTCTCAAAAATGAAACTATTCAGCAGCTCAATGCATAAAACCAAATTGTCAGAGAAAGAAGTTTCAGCATTTATTTAAGCATGTGCAGCAAAAGCCCAAATCCTGATAAAATTGGCAGCAGCTTTTCATAGTGCTGCTTTCCATAGGGCTCCTGAAGTCCTGCCATCTGCTATAGGTCTGACTGTAGGCACTGCATACTTCATTACCTTTCAGGAGCTATGAAAAGTTTCTGATGCCTGTATGAAAGTAGCAACTGAGAGGGATGAATTTTTCCTAGGAAAACAAACAAACCAAACCAGCCAAACAAACAAACAAACAAAAAAAAGAAGTCAAAAACACACAAATCCCAAACCACAGAATATACTCCCCATCCCTGGAAGAATGGGGCAATATACACCAGAATCTATTCTTCCTGTCTGAACCTTAATATCCTTCAATGATGATGATTACAAGACAATTACAGACCTAGTTCCTGATATATGGCAATTCAACCTACATTAAAGGAGGCAAAATGTAAAGTGACACTCATATTAGAGGTCTACACACAGAACTAAATAATTAATAAATCACATTACAGATCACATACACAGAGACCTGCAGATAGTCCCAAATGAGAAGGAAGAGAGCCTTCAGCAGTAAGTACCAGCATTACACAAGGCACCAGACTGGCTCCCCAAGAGGAGGGACTGTGTCCCCACACCGGCTGAAGGCAGTCAGAACTCAGTGGTGCAGGTATTTAAGTGTGAGGGCAGCACTGCATTAACTCGGTTACACTGTGCAGAGAGAGGAGTCAGCGGCAGGGCACGACTGTGTATTTATTTGTTCAATTTCGGTAGCTCCGGTATCCCAACATGCTTACATTAAATGAACCATAATAACTTCATCTGCGACTACTTCTTTGCTTCTCAAAGTGCTGACTCCATGGCGATGAGATCTTACCTATAGGAACTTTTTAAGTTCTGTCCAACACTCTTATAAAAAGCCCGACAACCTAACCATGCCATCCCGGAAGGCAAACACGCTGCCTGGAAACTGCATTCCTGAATACAACAACTTTGACTCCTCTTTCTTGCAAACACTGGGAGGTCACTGAAATAAACAAGCACGTTTAGGAGGGTGTATGCAGTTTTACAACTATGTATATGCTTTCACAGTTTCTAGGAGAAAAATATCTATTTGGATACGTTCAAGCAGCATTCCCTTGCTTCTTAAACTTTTGTACATAATTTGTTTCACTTGATCAAATCCTGGAACCACACTTTCTCAGTGTGTCCCCGTGTGAACACCACAGAGAAACGACGTGGCAAAAGAAGCCTCATCACAAAACTCAGGCACATCCCGCAAAACCATACTCTCCTCTGTGCTCTACTTGGCAGCTCCCGTAGCTGCCAAAGAGTATAAGCCGGGAAAAGTTGATGCCGTAGAAACAAAATCAAATCCTCTTACTGCTCTGCCTGGGGCTAAGAGGCCTTAAAAACATGCTCTCTACCTTCTGTCCCTTTCGTATGACCCACCAAGAGGACAAGATTCTTGCCAGAGAGAGCTGGTTCAGGTACAAGACACTCAAAGCATTATGAACAATTTCTTTTTCTTTTCAGTCAGCAAAGTAACTTCGAAGGGAACAGAGGTGCCCGACAGCACTGCCTTTAAGCACTTTACTGCAATCCCGGCTTAGGGTGACTGCCCCGCGCTGCCCCGGCCGCCTGTCCCCGCTGGCCGCACAGCCCAGCCCGCCCCGGCCCGGGCGGACAGCCCTGCCCCGCCCTGCCCCGTCCCACCTGTGGGGCTCTCGGGCAGGATGGGGCTCCAGCGGAGCCGCCGGGCGCTCAGAACCACGTCGCAGCTCCTCTTGCCGATCTCGAAGATGCCCCTGAGGAGCGGCTCGTCCCCCTCCCGGGCCGGCGGGGCCGCGGCCAGCGGGGCCACCCTCCGCCGCCGCTCCTGGGGCGCGGCGCGGGCGCGGCGCTGCGGGCGGGCGAGCGGGGCGGCGGCGCCCGGCATGGCGGCGGCGGCAGCCCGGCTCCGCGCCGGCACCCCCGCGGCACCCCGCTCCGCCCCGGCCCCGAGCCGGCACCCCGCTCCGCCCCGGCCCCGAGCCGGCACCCCGCTCCGCCCCGGCCCCGAGCCGGCACCCCGCTCCGCCCCGGCCCCGAGCCGGCACCCCGCTCCGCCCCGGCCCCGCCGCAGCGCCCGCCGCCCGCCGGGCCCAGCCGCGCCCGCCCCGCCCCGCAGGCGGGGCCGCCCCGCCCGGGGGCCGGCGGGAGGGCGCCCGGCCGGGCCCTCGGCCGGCAGCGGCGGGACGGCGGGGCTCGGCTGCCGGCAGCGGCAGAGCGCGGGGCGGCACCGGCCGCACCGCGTCAGGTGCGCTGCCCGCGGGGAACAGCGGCCCGAAGGCACTCGGGCATCTCAGCGCTGTTCTCTCCTCAGTTACTTCTCCGAGGAAGGAACGCTCCCACTACAGAAATTAATTTTCCTTGTCAGAGTCACACGTCTTCCCCTTTTCTGTTATCATTAACAGTATTGCTATTACTTAGTTTCAGAAAACTACGACACGAAGTTCTAATAGCTCTTCCATACTAAAAAGGCTGTCTTTAACAAGTTGTGACTCTGACATACCCTTAATGTAAAAACCATGCTGGCATTCCTGCTGCAAAAGAGATTATTGCCATAAACCCGGGTGGAGGCATCACTCAGCTGTACCCTTCATTCATAAGAATGCAAAACATTGCATTCAAGCAAAACAGTGACTTGGAGTCTGGTACTGACTCGTACTAGAACAGATCTGCTATCAAGTGGGCCAGTGCAGAAGGAATACCCAGAAAGGTTGCAGTCATCCCTCATCCTCAAAGCTTGAATGCAGAGGAGGAAGACCACTTTACTCTTGCTCTATAAATTACAGACTTTACTCTTTGGAAGTATGACAGCTTTACTCAGCTGCTGTAAGATTCACTGATGACAATCACATTAGAGTGCAGGGCCAACTCCCATTCATAACACGCTTCTGAGTCTGTAAGGGCTAAACTTGTACATCTATAAAGTTTTCGAATGTCATGGTGGCTTGCTAGGGCGTGAAAAGGATATTCTTAAACAAGAAATTCACTAACTCTATCTTTAATGTTTGTAACAATACAAATGTAATTGTCCTTCTGAGAAATAAAGCAATACATTGAAAACATTGCCCTTTGCTGATGGATACAAGATACGGTTTAAGCCGCATGTTAGAGTATCCTGTGATGTTTAGCCTTGTAGAAGCAAAATGTTGGTTGCAGTCAAACCAGCCAAGAGCTCATGAGATGATGCATGTTCTCAAGGCCTTTGCCTTCTTTCATAATTCCATAAAAACAGTACCAAGCTGCTTATTATGTAGCTGAGAAGACAGGTTTAAAACACATTCTAAAAGTCATCATGGTACAACTTTTTGATGCTTATTTCTATCTATTACTTTGTCATGTTTAAAGTATATTTGAAATATTTGTTAAATATGCAATCCATTTTCAATTTGCATCAAGCCATTAATACAGCTTTTACTGAAATGCATTCATCACCAATTTGCCTTTCTGAATCACATGACCACATAAGGTTTATGTTTGCTTAAAGCTTTTAGTAATTATATCATTTTTGGTTTTGTCCCTTAGGTCTTCTTTGTTGGCATATAAATATCTCAACTGCAAAGTAATCAGATAGAATAAGGTATAAATAATTGAAATAATGTGTGGAGTGTAGAACTTTTGTGCAAAATATCTTTAAGCAAAAAAACAAACTAGTGATGAGGCAGGAAAAACTGTGAGCCAAACAAGAGCTTGCCTTAACATTTATCATTCTGACACAGCAGTAGATGAACCAGCTCATCTGTTACTGTTATTTGGTGTTAGTGATCTTTATGTGTTTGCCCTGATGGCATTCAAGAGGAAAGCTAAATCATTAACTGGAAGATAAAGCACAATATGAAGCTAGAGTAAAATCTCTTTTGAGGCTGTATGCCCTGTATAATTCCCTGCAGTCATTTGTATTTGTTTCTGGGACAATTTATTAGCCTATACCATTTAGTGTATGTTATATATTATGACCAGATAATTTCTCCTAAGGCAGAAGAAAAGGTAAACTGAACCCTAAAATAATAGTGTTTTCAGTACTACCAGTGGGAAACTACTGCAGTTCCTAAGAGACTTGTAATATCCTTCAACTGATGTAATTACAACTTCTAACACCTTCTTATAAGCATTATTTGAAAAGTCTATTAAAACAGTAACAGTTAAGGTACTACATATATTAGATAAAAACATAAAATAGTAAGATAACTCTACAAAGTGATAAAAACAAAATTCTGTACATTGTGTTTTTGCTGATGTTCATAAATCCTCAATGCCCACAATTCTTTGTAAATCTGAGGCAGACACTTTTTTCCTGGAGGGAAAGGTTCCAAACAAGTCTATTCTAACAGACTTTTATTTTTAGTTATCACAAATTTCAGAATTGCACACTGAATTTGGAAATGCATGGAATAGTCCAGCAATATAATTTTATCAATTTTTCTAGGCTATGTCTGAAACTCTCACACATAAAATTCCCTTTAACTTTCTTGTAAGAAATGGTTGTGTGAATGATCTAATGTAGTATCTTCCGTGATGTTCTCGTATCAGAGAGAGAAGATGCAAGACAATCAGTAGGAATTGTATAGTAGGCATTCGAGCAGCACAGAGCACTGAGCCCACATGCTGAGCAAGGAAGTCTGGGGAGGGTGTTAGAATCCATCAAAGACCTAAATCATCAGCCAAGTTTATAATGATGAGGCAGGTCTGGATCAGCAGGGTCCAGAGCCAGATCAGGACTGTGGCTGAGCTGCAGACCAGCATCACACAGCATCTGTAATTGAAAAAGTTGTAGTCCCAGACTGAACTTGAATAGAGCTCCAAGCTCATGCGTAAGGTCAGTGAGGGGGTTACAGGTGGGGATGCTCAAGGTTTTTAAGGCTCAGTAGTGACCTCACGACCTTGCAGCCAGAAGCACAAGGGGAGAAAGTCTGAGAAACAGTAGGAGCAGGCTGCTTCGTAAAGGAAATGGGGTTTAGAGTGATTACAAGTCAGGTAGGATCCCATGTACCCGACCAAGGCAAACAGAACTGTGTGTAGCTAAGTTCCACAAGAGCCCAAACAGCCAGACAAACCCCTTGTATCAAGGTAGGTCCAGCACCAAGCTGAAAAGCAGAGTCATTAGGTCAGGCCAGGTGACAGCAGGCAGTGTCAGTGCTAGCCCAGCAGCCACCAGGGAAGCTTGTGTTATCAAGGCAGGTCCAAAGCCAGACAAGTTTGTGGGTCAGGACCTGGATATGGCACAGACATGACTGCAATAAGATGAAGGCAGACACCATGCTGCCTCTTCTAAATCACAGATCTTGCATGAGGGAGGGGACATCTCCCTCATGGTTTCTTAGAGTTTGTTCTCAGTTTTTGTTGACAAAACCAGGGGAGGTTTTATCCCAGGTCAGAGTGCTGGCCTTGAGCACAACCAGATGGCCTAGGGGAGGGAAGCATCCTCTGGACGAAGAGGTTGTAGGAAAGAAGCAGAGGAGCTAAGCTCTCCTGAATTAACAATGTGTCTTTCTGGAAAGCATCCCTTGCTCTCTAAATGCTAAGAAGTAGTGAGAGCCTCAGAACTCTTTTCCAGAAGAACCTTGTGAAGTGAAGAAAGAAGTAGGACAACCTGTGACAGAAATAATGACTGAGGGAAGCATAACTAGTGTTCACTGAAGAATAGCAAGCAGGTTAAGCTTGCTATTGGAAAATATGTCCTCCCACCTCAAAAAAAGTGTCTGTAAAAAGGCAATGAGGGATTTAGGCCAGTTTTGGATTCATAAGAAATGTGATGTTCAAGTTAAGGAACAGGAATTTAGACAAAAAGTGATGAGGAGACACTCTGGGGAAAATATCCTCATTCCAGAGCTTTTGACTGAATATTTCTGGTAGTTGACTTGTTTTCTGTAGCTAATGGAGACTTCCCTCTGGAGAAACCTGAATTTTGAAGTTGGCAGCATACCCTTGGCTTGTATGTTTTTCTGGCTACAGTATGTGTTTATACAATGAGAGTTTAGTGTATAGTCAGTTATACTTCAGCTGTTCATTCACAGATATGAGCTCTCCTATGTATGCTCCTTTCTTACATTTCTACTTTAGAAAATAATCTTTTGTACCTCTTAATATTAATTCAGCTCTGAATTGGTTTACCATAAAGTGACATTAAGCAGAACACCAAATTTTTTGCATGATAAGCAAAGCCATAAATTATTCCAAAGGAAAATGGTATAAATGGTCTGCAGAAGAGAACATTACTATTGCTAAACATCTTCAAATTTTCAAAAGAAGGAAAGCCTTAAAGAACAGAGAAAGAAAAGTAGGTAAGGAAATGGACAAACCTTTGCAAAGAGAACAAAGACAAGTGAAATTATTATGCAGGTATAAGAAGCTGCAGAAATGCAGCCTGAAGTTGCAGCCATTCCTGATATTCCCTGATAAAATGAACTTAAATTATTCTTAATCAGAACAACAGAGGAAAATGTGGTAATAGGAAGAGTATGAAATGAGAATGTATTGATCAGATGATATTGTCTTTTCTTTGCATTAAGGTTGGTGTGCTATCTTTTTAAGGTAATTTTTTCCTTCTGAATCTTATTTTCTACTGCTTTCTATTGTCACAGTGTTGGTAAACATGTGAATATTAGTTGCTTTTATTTCATGCAAAATGCAGTTAAGTCTATGCTGCAAACTACTACAAGCTAGGGAACTGAAAACTAGGGCTGATATTCTATGTTTTACATACCCTGTAGGCAACCTAAATACTTAAGAGAATGCTTTGAGAGCACTGTCAGTTTTAATTTTGTATTGCATAGCCTCTGACAGTTTGTTAAACACGTATATGAATTATTTAAAAAACACTTATGTAGATATTAGTATATTTGTAGAGCTTCAGCTCACTGTTGCAGTATGTATTTATGTACTATGTTTTTC